AACACAGATTGCAAACTTTGGTTTTTAAGCCTTAAGTGGCATCAGCAACCTTTATAAGTCATATGTAGTACACATAGTATATGTAGTACATTAAATAATAAAGTTATGCATCATTATATTTTAAAGGGACTTCTTATCCTCATTTACAGCATTTGGGAACAATTGGTCGCCAGGGAAAAATGAGTATTTAACTGGCTGCGAGTGGTTTCTGGAGGTTGCTGGAAGTCACTGTGAAATTGATCACTGTGCCCCAGTCATTGACCCCATGGTAGCCATTAATCACTAAGGAAAAATGCTCATCCCACAATCGGTTGCCAGTGTTTGCCAGGATGTTTTTGTCTTTGGTCTTTTAGTTAAAAACTGGAGTTCTCTGTTCAGTCCTGTAATAAATATTCTGCCTCTCTACTCTTTCAGATATACGCTGAATGTACTGGAGGACCTTGGTGATGGAGAGAAAGTAAATGATGACATCATTGTACGCTGGGTGAACAAAACATTGGCAGAGGCTGGAAAATCAGCCAAGATTTCAAGTTTTAAGGTAAAATGACATTGGAGAATCAGACATCTCTACATATGTAAACCAGCCCTCATCAGCATTGAGCAGCGTAAAAAGATGTAGTCATGTGATTCGGTTGGGGAGGGGTGGGGTCTCATTTTGCTGAGACGGCTCCATGTGTGGGTCGGAGCCCTAATCTGTGTGTTATGTGGCGATCAGGACAAGGAGATCAGCAGCAGTTTGGCAGTACTGGAACTCATAGACGCCATCCAGCCTGGCAGCATTGACTATGATCTGATCAAAACTGGCAGACTCTCTGAAGACGACAAGCTGGAGAATGCCAAGTAAGGACAAAAAGAAGGAGAAGCAGCTTTTTGACCATATACTGGTAAGTAGGGGTGACCAGCTTTTATATAACTTACCATGTCTGTATCCTCTCTAGATATGCCATTTCCATGGCGAGGAAGATTGGAGCCCGCGTCTACGCTCTCCCAGAAGACCTTGTGGAGGTCAAGCCCAAAATGGTGATGACTGTCTTTGCCTGCTTGATGGGTCGGGGGATGAAACGAGTCTAACTAGCTGGAATCATTGTGACAATTACTCATACCCACAGGCCATTAGCATTTTGAGAGAGCTGCCCCGTTCGAAGGAATTATGTTTTTTTTTTTTTTTTTCTTGTGTGTCAGAATCATACATTTGCATGTGTCCCTGCATCTTCTGATTAATAGAGGTGTTTTCTGAAGAATAATGTGCTTTCATCTTATTTAAAGTGAGGCTGCAAAACTAAAATTTCTAAAGACTTTGATCATCTTTACAGTTTCAGTATGCAGAACTCTTAACGTGTAAGAATGCTGTTTTGTTTTGTGTTTTTTAAGCGAGCGTGCCTGTTTGCAGCTGCAAGGTTGTTTACATATTTTTACTCAGCTCGATAAGTAAATTATAGCCTTGAGTAAGCAAAACACATTCCCAAATACCATAGTTATGAATAAATGCTTGGTAAATGTTTGGGAAGGGGGAGGGGGAATAAAAAGAGAAGAGGCATCAGACAACCATTTCCTCTCACTTGATGAAGTAAAACCATGGCCTAAACTGGCATCTTAACTGGCAACGTAAACGTCTACATATCCATATACAGAAGCCATAAGGTCTGATCATAGTAAAGACCATGATGTGCTATCTGTATTCTTGTACTCGTCATTTGTTTGTTTATTGGGATCATTATGCGATGTAAATGCTGTTCTTTGGGTGTTTCTGGTCTTAGTTGTTTGGGTTTTTGTTTTTTTGTTTGTTTTGTTTTTTAAAGTATCTGTTACGTTGGATGAAGAGCAGGCTGACTGGATTCTCCTGGCTTCTGCTGTGCCTTCTTGTCTCAAAGACAACTTGCACTCATGCGTTGAGTTTTTCCTTTCCTTTTGTATTCACCGTTACCAAATATAAATTGCAACTTCATTCCAGGTAGCTTTATGATACTCTATGACAATGGCCAGATTGTATTTGGTCTCGTGTTCATGTCTATTCCTAAGGGCTTTACATGCAACAATAAATATGCCTTGGAAAACCAGTCTTATGTTTGATCGTGGTTATTTCTGACCACAAGTTCATCTTTTAAGCTCTTCCACTTTTCTTTAAAAAATGAAATTTACTATTTTGTTTTCACTTTACAACATTATTTAGCCTGGCTAAATTAACCAGCCCAGAACACAGATTATCTTTGGGGTTCTTTTAATCTGAATGATAAAGTAAGTGCTCAGAAGAAAATAAAAAAGGTTGTAAAAATAAAGAAATAAAATTGTTACAGACAGTTCTTATCCAGTAACAGCTTTGTGCAGTGGTAACCCACTGCTACTGCAGGTTATTTCCCCAACTTTATCAGCATCTGGAACTCAAGGACGTCTAGCGTCATTTTGTGTGTGATATAAACCCATACATAAATAAAACAAACTTAGCAGTGCAAAAATAACTGTAGTGGCTTCTCCTGCTAAGATACAGAGCCAAGATTAAACAGTTAACAAGGTACATTTCCCTCTTACCCACAGAGATAGTATAATACAAGTGTGAACTCAAATACATACAGTGCATTAATTCAGCAGAAAACGGAATATAGATCCCTCTGAGATGAATGGCGAAGTTGGTTGCAGCCACTCCTGGTGCCTTAACTGTTGCACACTTTGCATTCAAAACAGATCACGCAGCGAAAAAAAAGGCATTGCACACCCACATAAAACCAATGCAAGCTAGCACTCCCGTCTCTGTAGATCCCCATGATCCCTTGCGCTCTCAGGGGTACCCCAAAAGAAACAGCGCCATCCAGTGGCATGTCCCATAATATCGAACTTCCACCTGGCTACAATACAAACAAAGTGGATGCTTTGGTTACTTGTAGATCAAAATAAACATTATGTTGTAATTATATAGCACTAATTCGGGGACTTTATATTGTAAGATAAAGTCTCTACAATATTAGAAGCAAACCTCACACACCTACCTCGCACATCTACACAACCCACTATGAGCAACAGACATTATGTCTCTAAGATTTTTAGGACAGATTGCAATAAATTCAGTTTTGTGGAGATTTTAAAGCATGAATTTAGAGGTCGTCCTGGCTTCAATGCCTATAAGACATGCCTGTAGTTTACCTAACTGACTTCATGGAAAAATAAAGCTGGGTATCATCTGCATAGCAACAAAGATGTAAGATGTCATATTCAGTTTCTTGTTAAACACAAATACCTGCATGTCTGAAAGCTAACATGTCTAACCTTTAAGCAGTTGGACTACAGCAGCAGAAGACCACACAAGGTGCCACTCCTTTCAGCAAAGAACACAAAAACTAAGCCATAATTCTCATCGGCTCACCAAAACTGGAAAATAGAACGATTGGAAAAATGTCGCCTGGTCTCATGAGTCTGGATTTCTGCTGCACCATTCAGAAGGTATAATCAGAATTTGGTGTAATCAGTATGAAAGTATGGATTATACCAACAATTTTTTACTTGACACACTTTGGGGCCCTTAGTGCCATCTGAGCATCATTTAAATGCACTGTTGGTGACCATGTCTGTGTCTTTTACATGGGTAATATATCAGTTTATCTGAATAAAGTGACGTATTAAGTATAATTAGTGATGCTGGATTCATCATGCAAGAAATGCATCATCTTGGCTCAACATCTTGAAGGGTATGAACAAACAGTGGTTGGTATGGTTACAAGTAACCATAGAAGAGGATACATACAAGTCTAAAAACACTTTAACATTTAATATGTTTAAACTGATGTTAAACATGACTTTTTTAAGCATTCTCCGAGTACTTTCAGTGTATTAGATCTTTTGTTTTGTGAATGATTGATCCCAAAATGTACTCAGGAGGAAGTTCTTTGTTTCCAAGCGCCTCTTACATCAGATACCTGTTGTTGTTTTTTTACTGCTTCTCCTTCCTCTTATCTGAGCTTCTGTTAATGTTACTACCTTTATGCTTTATGTTCTTCCTCTTTTTCACCATAAAATCCCCCACCTGTTTTTTTATTTGTTTTTTTTTAAAAAAACCTCTGTAAAAGAAAAAAACAAAGCACTTACAGTTTCTGCTTTTACTCATCTCTTCACAGTCCATCAACAATCTCGTTGCCCAACAGAGATAGTAATGGCAGATTGAAGTTTACTGTTCACTGGGCTGAATCTTATTCAGATGGAAAGTCCTCTGGGCTTCACTCCCACTAAGTTTTTGAGGATCTGATTAAAGCGGAAACTGCCAGGCTCTGTCGGAAAGCTGCATGATTATGAAGAAGTCTCGTGTGGTCCCCATCGCCTGGGTTTTCAAGCTCCATTTGCAGTGGAGAGTGGTGGCTGTGGTGAAAGTTTAGACTCCTAAACATCGCTGCTCTTGATACTTTTTGTCAACTAGAGAAGATTAAGCAAAATATTTCAAGTCAAACTCTCAGGATCAAACTGTCAATAATCATAAATATCCCACAGATCCTAATGTTCCCATCCTAGATCATAAAGAAAAGAGGCTAAGTTCGTGTTTTACCTTATATCTAAGGTACATCCTGGCTCCCCACCTCTCACTCTATAGTAGCTGGGATAGGCCCCAACCCCCCACGACCCTGATAAGGATAAGCAGAAGTGAATAAATGGATGGATAAAGTTTCACAGTAAGTCTACAAATATAAGTGTACAGCCCAAAAATCATATGTTAGTACAAAGGTACTGTGAGCAAAATATACTTAATTCCTCACATTTATTATATGCAATGTAATGAGATAGTTCATAGTAGGAATCAGCGCAGAAGCAGCAGCATATGCTTGACTACATTCATGTTTCTGTTTCTGCTAATCTTCCTTTTTTGTACTGCACACCTCTTTGAGCCAAACCGACTACTGTTAAAATGACCCATCTGCTCAGACATGAATGAGCTTAAGAAAAGTTATCATTGTGTTTATGAGAGGGCTCACAAGCGAACAAGGGTTATGATATGTCATTAAGCCGATATGTTACAAATGCTGATGAGCTGTCAAGCAAATATAAAAAATGTCAGACTAAGAAATGCTGAGAATATGAATCAGGCAGACTACATATATAAAGAAAATCAAATAAATCAGGTGAACTGGCTGCATTCTTTTGTTCTGTTTCTCACGATTCTCCTGAGTAATAAAAGTTAAAAGGAACAAGGTTTTCCTAGAATACTCTTCAGTCTGATGCTGACATCAAGGCTCTCAACTACTTGAAAGATTTCCACACCCTCCATCTCCCACCCCTACCTGCTTCCTCGGCACTCAGCCCATCTGAGGATGAGGTGGACCACGTGCTCACGCATGTGAGGAGAGCGCTCTTCGAGAGGAGGCTCACAACCGAGAATGGTGCAAGAGCAGGACTTGCATCCGGCGTGGGCACAAAGGATGGATTGGCTGGTGAAGACCAACTCTTTTTTTTTTTGGACTAATTCAAGGAAACCAGAGGTAGGCTGATATGTTTAAGCTGAGGCCAGTTTGGCATATACTTTATTATGATGCTAGTAATCTACATTTGCTGTGAAGCACTGTGGAAAAAAGTTGTGTTGCGTAACATATTCAATAAGCGGAATTAATAATTATTTGCAAAAGTAGAGGGAAAAAAGTCTCATCTCCACATTAGTAAAGTTACAGAGTGTGGACTGGCAGGCAGCTGGATGACTTTAGGGGTGAATTATCACTCTTTGTGGCCTCAGCAGCCATCGTGCTGTTATGTCATGCCACACTTTGCGCTCTCTCAGCAGCCTGGTTTCCTAAGCGATGTGGTTCCTGAGGGAAAGCAGCTGACTGGTTCACTGAGCCGCAGAGCTCCAGGATGGCTTTGTGTGTGTGTGTGTTTTCATTAATGACCCACCAATTAGTCACACAATGGTAACAGTCATCTAAGCACCTCATCATCTGTCTGTGCTGCAGGGAGAACAGCAGCCTTAATGTGACTTTTTGGGCTTTAACTGAACTTTGACTGTGTATCTAAAGTGCTGCTGCGTCCATAAAACTGAGCTTTTTATTTCTCATGAGTCGTCACAGCAACCACCTGCTGTATGATGGGCTAGGTTAGGGACTATCTACCACAGTCCCAGTTGTCCCCCACCGCCCCAGTCCCCTGACTATTATCTGAGACATGCACCATAAACACTTTTCTCTCCTGCCACAGTGTAACTGAAGCAGGAGAGCATGTCCAACACTCCACAATATGGATTAAATGGCTGTAAGTGGGTCTTTAATATTAGTGTTTGTCCGTACTGTCAGATCTAAAGATGACGGGCCAGCTGGCAGAGAGAGATCGGTCTCCCCACAATCTGTCAGTGAAGACCAGCTTGGAGGAGGAAATCGAGAGAGCAGAGAGCATTCTCAGCAGGTAACAAGAGCTTCCTCATGTTCATTATGTTTTTCTCAGAGGTTTCGTTCAGAGACACAAAACAGAGGCTCTCGTAATGGCTTAAAGAAGCCGGGCTGTCACTTTTTCCTACTAGGGTCCCATCGATCTGTGATGACACATCCTCGGAGCTGCAAAGAGTCGCTGCTCTCGACCCTCATGGAGGCAGTTCAAGAAATTCTTTTCAAAGGACCGGAGCCATCTCAAGGTAAACCTGTGATGACTCAGCTGTGGCACGTCAGTATGGTATGGCAATTTCAAATGGACTGATTCAAGGAGCTGAAAGATTATTGTGTAGCTCTTATTACATATTAAATAACTTTTTTGTGGCAAAGGTCTGGCTTTGTAGAAATGGCTATAGAAGAGCTTTTTGTCTTTTTTCATGAAGGTCGTCGACTGCTACAAAATTCATTACATTTGCAGGAATTTAGAGTCCCTTTTTTCATTCAGACTTTTCAAGATTTTCCAGTCCTACAGATAGAAAAGGAAAGACAAAGTGAGGTCTCAAATCATGTGCTCTAATTTGCAGCTCTGTGATGGTTTCGCACATTAACTGTGTTTGAACTGATGCATTTTGACATGATTTTAAGTTATAAAGCTGCCTAAAGATGCGGTGTTGTGTTCCTTTTGTGTGTCAGACTGGTGAGCCTGGTGGTGAGACTGCGGGAATGGGCACACAGGAGTCTTTTGGAGGAGGAGGAGAGGCCAGACTCTTTCCTGGAACGCTTTCGTGGCCCTGAGCTGAGAACGGCCCCCAGTCGCATCAGCAACACACAACTGGATGCCAATGGCAACAATGCCAAAGGGATCTTTAGGTATGCCCGGCTACCACCCTGAACCTTTACTATGTACACCTTCATGTACATGCATAAGGAGTACAGAGTTACACTTGTACAAATCACGACGGGACCTTCTGCTTCATGGCTAAAATAAATCCTTGAAAGGTCTTATTAAGTTGTAGAGACACCCAGAGTTACAGACAGTGTTTATTCCGCTCAGTGCTGAGGCTGTAATTTATGTTGTCCTTGCTGAAATATAGGTTTACTGCAAGGTGCTATGTAAGGAAAAGAAGATAGCTCAACTGAGCTTTAAATATTTTACATTTAGTAGAACGTCACAATATTTTAAAATGACCCGAAAGATGTCACATTTACAAAAAAAGTAGCTGTCTCATATGGCTGTTAACAAATAATTATATAGCTATTGTGTTGTGATGCATTATATTGCTGTTTTTCTCTCTGTTGTTGTGCACTAACAGTTTTTGCTGAGTGTCATAATCACAGTCTCCTTTTGCTTACAGGAAAAAGTGGGATCTGTTTGTGGTGTCTCCCTCCGATGACGTATACTACCGCTGGTTATTTGTTATTGCCTTGGCGGTGCTCTACAATTGGTTCCTTGTTGTCGCGAGGTAATAACATTACAGTATGTGCGTCAGTGGGGCCCTGCAGCCTCCAGAGGGTGTACAGTGTAGTGTTCACTTCTTAGACTAGAGCACTAAATCCTTTTTTAATGCATTTCCAGGGCATGCTTTGACGAACTACAAGTGAGCAACTACATCTGCTGGCTGGTGCTGGACTACCTCTCTGATGCTCTATACATAACAGACACCTGTGTTCGACTCCGGACAGGTAAGCCACCTAAAAATGCAGCTTCTGGCCTTCTTAAATTTTAGATTACTCTGATGACATAGTTTCCTCTCTGCTGAATGAGTCAGTGTTTTGCGTTCATTTTATATTTTCTCAGCTTTCTAATTCAAACCTCGCTGCTTCCTTTTCAAATCAAATCAAATCAAATCAAATCACTTTTATTGTCACATCACATGTGCAGGTACATTGGTACAGCACATGTGAGTGAAATTCTTGTGTGCGAGCTTCACAAGCAACAGAGTTGTGCAAAATACAATAATGTAAACAAGCAAAATACAAGAATGGCTACATCTGAAACTAATAAATATATGTACAATATATAATAGTATATGCATTTCTGGATGTGTATACTAAATATTTTTCTACGTGTGTGTGTGTGTGTGTGTGTGTGTGTGTGTGTGTGTACACACATATTTTACAAATTAAATAGAGTAAACAATAAATAAAATATATAAAAATATACAGAGTTGAGACATGTGCAAAACAGTGGCATTACTGTACAGTATGGAGTGCATAATGTTAAAGTTCTAGTAGTGAAGCTGAGGTGTCTATGAAGTGTTCAGCAGTCTGATGGCCTGGTGGAAAAAGCTGTCTCTCAGTCTGCTGGTACAGGACCGGATGCTGCAGAACCTCCTTCCTGATGGAAGCAGTCTGAACAGTTTATGGCTGGGGTGACTGGAGTCCTTGATGATCCTCCCCGCTTTCCTCAGGCACCGCTTCCTGTAGATGTCTTGGAGGGAGGGAAGCTCACCTCCAATTATCCGTTCAGAGCACCGCACTACTTGCTGGAGAGCTTTGCAGTTGTAGGCGGTGCTGTTGCCATACCAGGTGGTGATGCATCCAGTGAGGATGCTCTCAATGGCACAGTGATAGAAGGTCCTGAGGATGCGGGGGCTCATGCCGAATCTTTTCAGTCTCCTAAGAAAGAAGAGGCGCTGCTGCGCCTTCTTCACTGTTTTGTTTGTGTGTACTGACCACGTAAGATCCTCAGCCAGATGTACACCAAGGAACCGGAAGCTGCTCACTCTCTCCACAGCAGCGCCGTTGATGGTGATGGGGGTGTGTACTTCTTTGCACCTCCGGAAGTCCACTATCAACTCCTTTGTCTTTGCGACGTTGAGGGTGAGATGGTTGTCTTGACACCAGTGGGTCAGGGTGCTGACCTCCTCCCTGTAAGCCGTCTCATCACCATTGGTGATAAGACCCACCACTGTAGTGTCGTCCGCAAACTTCACAATGATGTTGGAGTTGTTAGTGGCAGTGCAGTCGTAGGTGTAGAGTGAGTATAGGAGAGGGCTCAGTACACACCCCTGTGGAGCACCAGTGTTCAGTGTGATGAGGTGATGCTGCCCAGTCTGACCACTTGGCGTCTGTCAGACAGGAAGCTAAGGATCCAGCTGCAGAGGGAGCTACTCAGTCCTAGATCCTGCAGTTTCCTGTCCAGCTTCGAGGGAACGATGGTATTGAATGCTGAGCTGTAATCTACAAACAGCATTCTCACATACGTGTCTCTCTTCTCCAGGTGTGACAGGGCAGTGTGTAGTGTCAGGGCTATGGCATCATCAGTGGACCTGTTCTGGACCTGTTATTTACACATCAAATGCAAACTAACTTTACATTTTAGTTACAACATCCACTAAATAACAATATCACCATGTAGATGACCCTATGCTAAAATTGGCTTGTGAACACATCAGGGATGCATGATGAAATAAAACCATTAATGTGTGTGAAAATGTGTGTGTGTCTCCAGCACACACACAGCACCATGTACTGTTAAATTCCATTATTTTAGTGCCAAAAACTGATTGTCTGTCAAAAAGTGATTTACAGTGTTTACAGGTGTTGTTTTTTTTTATATGTAAAGTCTACACCTATATTGGTAAATAGACTTTAATGAACAAGATTTAGAAAGAGGTTATAAAATGTAAAAAGTACCCGTCTTTCAAGTATCTTTATGACTCTGGTTTATTGTACCTACATTATAAGCAGTCTAGTTTACAAAATTACTGATATACTTGTTGTAATGTCTGCTGCCCTCTTGGGCAGATCACCTTAAAAAAAGACATTTTTAATGTCAACAAGTTTTTTTAACTGGATATATAAAGTAATTTTGCCAAAAAGCGAGTGTGGTGTCTAACTTGTAACAGGAATGCTGATTAATGTTTGCTCTAGATGGCTTGATATGAGGCATGCATTTGACACATATTTCACATATTATAGGCCAACAAATTATTTACAGCAGTTTAAATACAGGCAATCACTTTTTTGCATGACATGTTGTCCACCAGCGCTTGAAGCGTGCTAAATGCTTCACTTAATGAGTTTTGACACCTAAGTCAAACAAGTCTAGCAAACATAGAGGTCCCAGGTGTTTCCAATGGTAGCCCTAGTTAGCTGTAAGCAGAGATCATTCTCTAACTTCTGATGTGGAAGCAGGCCTGAAATGTGGCAGAAGCCAACTGAGTTCATAAAAAAAACAATAACGGTTACCCCTGGTCATGGTCCAAGAGAGAAAGAGTTAACCTAGTCACTAGCTTTATCTGCTTCTTGGTACTTTACATGGAGCACATGTAGAGGAAGAATGTTGCATGCTAATTTATAGCTAATGCTAGCTTGGTTAGCAAGGTGCATCAATAGACTCTGTCCTGTGCACTGATATCATTTTATTAGTGAAGAGGGGGGGGAAAAAAAACAATATCAGAGCATCTTGAATGGGCTTTTAATTATTTTTAACTGTGCAGAAAGCCATATCATTACTTCAGTGATATGAATATTTTTAGAGCTAGCCTCCTGTGGCCTTTGGAGGAAAATGCCGTTTGAGGCAATTAAAGCCCTTTCACATAGGAAGCAGCATGAGCTGCACTGGTATGATCACGAGAATGTATGTCACACTACACTACAAAGTATGTGGCACGTACAGTATTCCCTGGGTGCTTCCAGTTGTGCTGGGGTTTGCCTGATACAGTAAGAAACTGTTTTGGTGCAGTGTAGTAAAGAATGTGTCTGAGAGCACAATGTAGCACAACCCATGCCACTTCCTATGTGAAAGGGCCTTTAGGCATTAGCTTCAGACCCAGAGATTGCCACTTGGATTTATCAAATTATGCAGCTCAAAAAAACCGAACAATGTGCTTAAAGACTCTAAAATTAAAGCTGAGAGGATCTAATCTACCAGTTTAACTGTTAAATAAAAACTTGATTTGAGCCGCCCTCTACTTTTTTTCAGCCACCACCAAGCTAAACATGAGTTTTATTTATTTTTCTCAGGGTTCCTGGAGCAAGGTTTGCTGGTGAAGGACCACGCCAAGCTAAGAGACAGCTACATCCGTACATTACAGTTTAAGCTTGACTTGCTGTCCATCCTGCCCACTGACCTGGGGTACATCTCCACAGGCATCCATACACCACAGCTCAGGTTTAACCGTCTGCTGCGCTTCCCACGCATGTTTGAATTCTTTGACCGCACAGAGACACGCACCAACTACCCCAACATCTTTCGCATCTGCAATTTGGTTCTTTACATCCTGGTCATCATTCACTGGAATGCCTGCATCTTCTATGCTATATCTAAGTCTTTGGGATTTGGCTCAGATACGTGGGTGTTCCCAAACATCTCTAAACCCGGGTATTCCACCTTGACTCAGAGTTATGTCTACTGTCTCTACTGGTCGACTCTTACCCTTACCACCATTGGAGAGATGCCTCCCCCTGTGCGAGATGAAGAGTACGTGTTTGTGGTCTTTGACTTTCTTGTTGGGGTATTAATCTTTGCTACAATTGTGGGAAATGTTGGTTCTATGATTGCCAACATGAATGCCACCCGTGCCGAATTTCAAGCTCGTATTGATGCCATCAAACACTACATGCACTTCCGCAAAGTCAGCAGAGAACTGGAGACACGTGTCATCAAATGGTTTGACTACCTCTGGACCAACAAGAAAGCAGTAGATGAGCAGGAAGTGCTAAAGAATTTGCCAAACAAGCTGCGGGCTGAGATTGCTATTAATGTCCACCTGGAGACCCTGAAGAAAGTACGGATTTTTCAAGACTGTGAGGCAGGACTGCTGGTGGAGCTTGTGCTTAAACTACGCCCTCAGGTCTTCAGTCCAGGCGACTACATCTGCAGAAAGGGCGACATTGGTAAGGAGATGTATATCATTAAAGAAGGGAAGCTGGCTGTGGTGGCTGATGATGGGGTCACACAGTACGCTCTCCTCACCGCTGGTAGCTGCTTCGGTGAAATCAGCATTTTGAATATCAAAGGTAGTAAAATGGGAAATCGTCGGACAGCCAACATCCGCAGCTTAGGTTACTCTGACCTCTTCTGCCTCTCTAAGGACGACCTGATGGAGGCAGTGACTGAGTATCCAGATGCTAAGACCGTGCTAGAGGAAAGGGGCCGGGAGATTCTGATGAAAGAGGGTCTTCTGGATGAGAATGCTCAGAGTGGCGGGCTACAGAAAGAGGACACAGAGGAGAAGGTGGAACGGTTGGAGTCCTCTTTGGACACCCTTCAGACTCGGTTTGCCCGGCTACTCAGTGAATACACACACACTCAGCAAAGGCTAAAGCAGCGTGTCACTCTGCTGGAGCATTTCCTCAATCAAACAGACTGCTGTGCAGAGGCAAATGTGAATGACATGGATGAAGGTGCAGGGACAGTCACTGAAAATGACTCTGGGTTTGTTGCCCATACAGATGGATCACCAATAAGACTTTAGATCAATACCTAACGGAATAGGAATGACTCTTTAAGACTATAAGAAACCCATACAATGCATTTTCTCTGCTTTTACTTGTATTATGTGAAGGTTTTATCAGTTTAGCAATTGCAAAGAGAAGTTTGCATGTTAATAAACATAAGAAGAAAATTTACAACACTGCTATGACCATGCATTCTTTGAGTTCATAAACCAGTGACACTGAGATAAAGTTTTAAAGTTACTTCCTGAATCAAACCAAAACAAAAGATGGAATACATGAGAATATATTTTAAACTGTAAATTAAAGATGTATTTAAATGCTACCAAAATAAAGGGAGTGATTCTACACTAAACACCTGAGACCTGCTCCAGTTTACAGTTTCTAGTTCACCTGTAAACATCTTGTTTTTGCTTGCATCAGCAGGAGACTCAGTTCTCTCCATGTCCTGTATATTGCGCTCTGGGTGTGCACACATCGTCTCTTACCACTCCTTGAGGGGAAGGGGTCCACAGAGAAATGGTTTGCGGTGTTCAACTGCACAGGGATCTTTTTGTGCGTGTCCATATTTTGCAGGTTAGACTTACTTGAGCTCTTGAGGGACATCTATGGAACGATCCTATTTCTTGCATTTTAAGCAAAGTGACTTAAAATGGGCTAAGTGAATAACTGCTCAACTGAGTTATTATTAATCTCTGGTTCTCCTCCACAGCGACCTGTCTCCCTCCCCTCAACCCCAACAGGTTGTGGCAGATGGCCTGAGCCTGGTTCTGCCAGAGGCTTCTTCCTGTTAATAGGGAGTTTTTCTTCCAACTGTCGCCAAAGTGTTTTCTCACAGGGGGTCGTCTCATTGTTCAGGTTTTCTCTGTATTCTTGTAAGGCCTTACCTTCCATTATAAAGCACCTTGAGGCAACTACTGTTTTGATCTGGCGCTATATAAATAAAACTGAATTGAAACTGTAACAATAACGTCTTCTACTGGGAAACTTTTGGTGCCGTTATTCCAAATCAGTGTTGTATAAAACCACTGAATAGCCATTATAAGTGGTTACTAACCCATACATACACATTGTAAATATTAATGCTGTGATATTTACTTGGTAACAATCGAATACCGGCCAGTATTGCCAATATCAGTACTGATAACGATACCTTTAAAACATACACACAGCTTGTGTAGGGGAGAGTATCATAATTTGGGTTAAAATACACTAGGAGTCAACAACATTGTAAAAAGGCAATATTTGCAAGCTTACTAGGTATTTACTGGCAGAGATTCTATGTGCACTTCTTTGCAGGACCAAAAAATGTCTACGCAATTCTGTGCCTATTAGCAATATGAATGGGACTGATAACAACAAATACTCGCCATTCTGTAGTCTGATAACATCTAAATCCAGCATCCAGCCATCATGCAAGGCGAGGAAACAAGATGATCCATTACAGCAGGACCCAAAGGATCCACTGCCAGAATCCTAATGTCTGACACGACAGTACAACCCAGTGTCCTTGATCCTGTGGTTCAAAGCTGTTTTGGTGGCAACAAAGGGCACCTAAAGTATTTTATGCATGTATGGATTAGTGCATGTCTAACTTGTTATTGACCTTAAATTATTTATTTATTTATTTTTACAAAGTTTACTCACTGTCAACTTTCCCCAAAGTCTTACCTTCAAATAAACAATCTGCTACCACTATATGAAATAACTTACTCCCAGTTATTTCATGCAAAGTTACTCACTGCGGGGGGAGACTGGGGATTTTCCAGCTATTCAGCCTCTGCATTCCAGGATACAGCTCAACCGCATGAACACTGTAGATAAGCTCTACTGGAACAATGCCTCCGGATCAGATCTGGCTACAGTAAAGAGGCAAGGCATAATAGCCCATATCCCTTGCAGACCCTGAAGGAGTTGGTGGTATCAGGTACCATGACTAAATCTCAAGTTACTTTCCATGGACAACATGAATAAATACTGTTTCTCTCTGATAAGAAACAAATGACATGTAAACCACTCAAACCTTGAAACCAAACTTAAAAATAAATGAAAGGCTTATTCTGGGTACATACACAGGCCACTTTGTTAGGTACACCTGTTCAACTACTCATAAATGCATATAAATGATCAGAAAAACAGCACCACAGCAAATCAGTGTATTTAGACATGAGGAAGAAGGTAATTTAAGTGACTTTGCATGTGGTTGGTTGTCGGTGCTCGACAGGCTGGCCTGAGTATTTAAAAAAACTGATCTGCTGGGTTTTCCTGCACAGCAATCTCTAAGGATTACAGAGGATGATCTCAAAAAGAAAAAATACCCAGTGAGCGGCAGTCCTCTGGGAGAAAAGGTCTAGTTGATCCCAGTGATCAGAGGAGAGGGGTCAGGTTGCTTCAAGATGACAGGAAGACAACATTAACTCAAAAAACCACTGGTTACAACTGAGATATGCTGAAGAGCATCTCTTAATGCACAACATGCCAAACCTTGAAGCTGATGGGTATAGCAACAGAAGACAAAACATGGTGCAAGAACAGGAAACTAAGGCTGCAATTAAGACCAAAATTGGTCAAAAGATTGAAAAAAAAAACATTGCCTGCGCTGATGAATCTGCTTTTCTGCTGCGACATTCAGATAGCAGGGTCAGAATTTTGTGTCAGAAAGCTGCTGCTGGTGGTGTAAGGAGAAAAATATTTTCTTGGCACACTTTGGGCCTCATCGTACTAACTGAGAATCATTTAAACACCACAGCCGACACCCAGCATTTTCATCTTCTGATGGCTCCATCTCACCAAACTCACATCTTCTTAGACTATTTTCTGAAACATGACAATGGGTTTACTGAATGCAAATGACCTCCACACTCACCACATCTCCAGACCAATAGATGTTGTAGAACTGGTTATTTGCATTATGGATGTGCAGCCGAAAAAGAAAGAAAGAAAGGGAGTCCACTCGAGTACTAGCAAAGTGTACCTAATAAAGTGAGTGTTTTATAGCCTTAAGAGGAGAATGGATTAGCTAGATTTGACTGAAAAGTTTAGTTTGGAGACTTTAATACTCTGCTTGTTTTGATCCCAATAAATATTATAATTTAAATGTGTTGAAATTGTGGTAACTGAACAGACATCAAAACTACAATAATGTTGAAATTCAGTTGGCCTGTGCTCCATTTAATTTTTTGATAGAAAAATAGGAGCAAAAGTGAGCATGAGAGCCACTTGTATCAATCTTGTATCACTGGTTCCCAGTGCTCAATTCCAGGTAGAAACATGTATTCTGGCACTTCTTTAGCATAATTTTGCATGATTCAAAATTTAAAAATTCTTTATTTTAGACCTGATCTTTAGCAGTCTCTAAGTTCCAGTCTAAAAAAAGGCCTTTTAGCTCATCCCTTTAAGGCAACGGTCTCAAAAATATCACTTTCTTCTGATTGGTCAGCTTCCAGACACAACCCCACTCCATCAGAATCCAATAAAAATATAGAGATGGAAATGAGTTAAATGGAAATAGGTCTACTTTAACACACTCAGCAGCTGTTTGCCATATTAAATGAACAAAAATATGCCATTTGCGCTGTAACTTGCTGTCCATCCCCTGAAGTTGTCTCACTTAACTATTTGCTATGTGTACAAGACAACTGGTGCCACCTGTCAAGTTAGCCTGGTGAGACTACAATGAAGAAAAGGACCAATAAGAACGATCTCTGATCCATCTCTGTGTACATCTGTTTACAGCGCCTGTTTCTAAAAGCAGTTAGTATTGTCAAAGATTAAAAACAGAACCCCCCCCCCCCCCCAAAAAAAACAAAACAAAAAACAAACCACCCCACACTTCAAATATTTTTCTGAATAGAACTATATTGTTTGTAACAGCTTACAAACGACATTTGAAAATCAAATCATACAATATCTGCTGCTTCTCATACGGAGAGACATCCCCAATCACTGGGATTCACTGCATGGAGTGAATGAATCTACTGAAATATGACAAAGTGTGACAGCAAATGTAGCCCTCCCCTCCCCCACCTCTGTAGTAAACAATACATTTCCCAACGAGTTGTTATCACTTCTCCCGTAAGAATTAGAGCAAAACAAAAACAAGGTGATTTCTCGCGTAATAACTGTGATTGAATATGAAGATATAGACGAAACGGTGCAGGGCTGCTCATGTGACACCAGGAGACCGCAACATGCTGTCTGTGAACTGATTGGCTGAGAGTATCCACTAGGACAAATGCACAGGCTAGCGCATCCGCATGTGCAGGCTATGCTTGGGTCCATCCACTCGCTCCAACTTCTCAAAGTGTTTCCTAGCATTACGGATATTGATGAGAGTGGCTGCAGATGCTGGAAAAAAAGGAGATGTGAGTTCTTATTATTGTCTGTGTAGGTTCTCAGTCATCTAGGACAAGGTAATCTAAGCAGCCTGGAAAGCAAACTGACTGACCTCTCATCTAAGAGATTATTCAGTTCTAAAACCAAATGGTTGAGAGTCCCATGTATTTAAACCCTAGTGAGGATTATTCTTTAAGAGGGTCGTTGACCCACTATTGATCATGTCCCTCATCGCATGAGCCATGGTGTGAAAAAAGGTGTGAGTCATTAGCAGCAGAGGTTTGGGTGAAACCATTAGTCCCTTTTCCATTACTACCTACTTTGATCGATCAGTCACTGATGGCCACAATTTTCAGGACTTTCCATTACCTCATAGTATCAAGTACTAAAAACAGTACCCGCTCAGCAGGTTTCCAAGTGATCTGAGCAGGTACTAAAATGTGACGTCATCAGACTGCATGCCACCGATTGGCTGGTCAGTGGTATCACTCGATGAGTCACACGATGAGTGTGAGTGTCTCATTCACAAAAATCCAAACCACCATTTTTGTAACCCAGCAACAAGTGAAACGGCTACAAAAAAAAAAAAGTCTGACAAAAAGCCACAGACTGAGCAGCAGGTATATCATCGCCTCTACATCCACCTTTGTTGTAGCATTTTTGTCGGATATTAATTACATCATGGGACGCTCTGATGCATTGCTATGACAACGACCGCGCACATTAGGTGGTACTCAATTGTAATGGAAAACCATTCAATCCGAGTCGAGGCGAGTTGATCGGAGCAGGTACTAATGGAAAAGCGGCTATTGTGAGACCCTGCCTCACCCAATCATGTGAGATCATCTGTTGCAAGATCTGAAATGCCTGGGAAGGGATCTCAACACTTCCTCATGTCATGAGGTACATGATCAATAGAGGGTCAACGACCCTCTTAAGGGACATTCCCACTAGGGATTTGGTTTTAGAACTGAAGAAGCTTTTTGGATGAAAGGTGAAATATCTTCAAGAAACTTCCAGTCGCTTTTCTTTCTAAGCTCCTTAGATGATGATGATGATTATTATGATTATTATTATTTTTTTATTTTTTCTCATAACTGTGAATCTGCTGCAGAGAAATGTTATCTTCACTACTTACGAATAGAAGGGTCCGACATGATGACCATGACATAAGTGTTGGAGGTGAAGACGTCAATGAAGGCTGCAAAATTTGAGTTCCTTACTTCCATGCTTTGGAAGGAAGCTGCAAGTTTACTGGAATGATAAAATAAATAAAATTAAAATCAACACACTCCAGCTGATGGCATCTGGAGAGGAGGCGGAGCATCTGCAAAACACTTACCTACAGCTGAGTTTGAACTGTTTGATAATGTTACTGATCTTCTCAAACCTGTGAGCGTCACGCTGCTCTTTGCACTGATAGTGGGAGATCACCTGCATTTACAAAACAACACGGGGAAACGACAAGATAAATGACTCATTTCTAAATTTGTATTTCCTGCCCAGACGCTGCAGAGGAAACGGACACTCTCACCAGGAAGGTCGCTCTCTCAAACAGAAGAACTTCATCTGCCTCTATGATCTGTGCAAAATTTCTCAGGTTTGTTTCCAGCTGCTGGACGTTTGGGATGAGCTGGTACACTATGCTGGACCAGGCCTGCAAAGAGAAAAAACCCAACAACGTTCAGCTAAATTTACCAACAAAAAAAAAAAAGCCTCAGCTTTATTAGCTGTGACAATAAATAAATAAATAAATAAATAAATGGACAGTCAGGTTCAAGACCTTATATAGGGTTTCATCCCAGATTGATGTCCTGAAGCATGTGCAAGCTAAAGGCCTGGACAGTCTTCGCAGATCTTCTTCACGTTCTTTAAAGATCTGTAAAGACAGAAAGGTCACACCAAAAGGAAAGTGGGACCAGCTCAAGATCAAAATAGACACAAATAAGTAAAATACAAAGAAAAAGTATGAAAGGAGGTTATTATAGATATGATTAACATAACAGGCAGTAAAATTAAGAGGTGAACAATATGACCATTTACAAATATTATTGGTACCCTTAAGAGCCCTACGTTTAGGTTGTTCATATTCAGTTCATACTTAAATGGGTCATACTGTAGCTTACACATCAAAGTGATCCCTTTCACTTTTTCAGTGAAATGAAAGTTCAAGTTTCAATCAAGAAAAACTAGTGCAAAAGTCTAAAAAGGACCACTTTAATGAGTAAATATATACAACTCATTTCCTGTGCTGGTGCCAGAGTCACTTATGTCTTGGTAAGGTTTTATTTTAATTTTTTGAAGAACCAGCCAACAACTCAAGCAAACCTTAATAGTACATACTGTTATATTAACTTGTTTCCCACTTTAAAGGAGTTCACAGACTCAGCTAAATGAAGTTGGAGTGGGAGACTTTTGTTTTTTAAAGCTTTTTGGTGGAAACACATGGAACTGGTTCTACACTGGGCACTATGGCTGTGCTTGTGGAAAAGACTGAACAGTACAATCTTAGAAAAGATGTAGTATGATCAATATTTTTTTCCTGTTTCTGTTCTGGATGGGCAGTGTCATGTCTGACTGAACCGGATCAGACTATTAATCAGCACTTGACTCGCAGATTAAATATCATTGTATAACACTGCAAATTCAAGACAGAGCAAAATAGTAACACGTGAGCGGGACAGCAGTACTAATGATGTATGAAATGTTACTTGAATCTCACCAAATCTCTCTGGTCTTCCTGCACAAGGTCCATTTTGTGCACAAGACAGAACACCTTGGCATCAGGGGAATTCTGCAGAATGGCTTCCAGACACGACTGGTAGTAGTGCATGTCTTTCTCTAGCTCACGGCTCTCAACGTCAAATACGTAAATAAGAACTTCTACATTTCTGAAAATGTTGTCCCTCTGGCTGGTGAAGTAGTTCTCCATGAATGTGTCCTGTCTGTTGGTTTAAAAGGCACAGATAAGTGATTAAAAATAAGGAATAACTTTGGCTTCTCAAAGCTGGTCCAGAAATGGCAAATAATTAGCAAATGTGTGTCTTACCCTCCACAGTCCCACAGGTTTAGAACCAGATTGCCAAGAAACCGTACATGGGAGTGTTCCACGTCAACTATGGTCAACCAATAAAAGCAGAAGAGTTAAATAAATGTAGATAATGAAACGCTCAGCATTAAAAATACATTTTCATATAAGACGGTGCTCTTACTTGTAGCTCCAAGGCGGCGTGTGTCTCGAGCTATGTAATTGGCAAAGATGATTGATCTCATACTGGTCTTTCCAGACCCACTTTTCCCCATCAGTAGCACCTGAAAAGCACACACACTCACTATTATAGTGGGAAGGGTAATTAGGTGGATTAATCTCTGATTTTAGAAGTACATGCTTGAAATCAAAGGACACTTCAAAAAGGATAAAACGAGTTCTCTGTAATGATCTAACAGATCTGCCCTTGCTTTACCTTTTTCTTCATTGCTGTGCTTGACATCCCCCTCAGCAAATACGAGTGTCGGGTATCTCAGTGAGCTGCGGGTCAGATGACTTCAGGCTGTGTCTGCAGCTGTCCTCCCCTTCCTCTCTTTGGGCTACGGAGAAAATCCCCCCCAGAAAAAAAACCCCAAAACGTGTTCATAACACGTGTGAACGCTTAAAACAGAAACAAATCAAACATATCCCGTCACTTTTGATCTTTAATAATCCTCAATAAGCTTTCTGGGCTTATTTACTTTTCTTTCTCTGTTATAAACACTTGAGCTAATGCTAACTTAGCTAGCCCGAAACAGTCCAGATATAAGGCTAGGTTAGCTTAGCTTAAATAAACGGCTGAATAGCTGCACTAAAATTCAACAGCGTATCATCAACCTACCCGAAAGAGTCGACCAGTTACCTAAACCGGTGCAGTTTTAAACAACAGTTTTCCTTTGTTTAAACGAGTACAGTTGATAAACATTACTTAGTGAAAGCAGCAATGAAGTCAGGATCAGCTGCTTCCTGTGTACGCCAAGAGTCACATGATGAGCAATTTGGGCTTTAAGCCCCGAGTTCTGTCTCACAGGCGACGTCATAGATTTAAACCTTACAGACGTTTTTAGATTAAAGTCTAAAAGAGAACAACAACCTTCAGTTTAACTCCGAAATAGTTTTAGTTGTAGTCCTTTTTGAAAAAAAAAAGAAGAGTTTATACTTCAATAGGCTAAAGGCAAACCTTATTTATGAGGCATAATTTAAACCTCCCATTTTGATTTGTATCGGAGATTCAACCAGAGTGGCTGCAATTCAATTTATAGATGTATTGTTAATTATTAAAGAGCTAAACTTTAACACTTAACATCAAAACAGGTCGTGACTTGTGAATTTCTTTAAAATTATAGCTTTATTCAGTACAATAGCACACCACGTCATGCCTTACATCTTATTTTTTATATATTGTTTTTATTTATTTATTTGGTTATTTTTATACATATGGATAACCTTAATTTATTTTATTGTCTTTCAACCTGGTCCTGTTTTTATTGTAATTTGTATGTGTGTGTGTTTGTCTTTCTGTGCTCATAATTTTGTTCCGCAATGCTGAGTGGCAATAAAGGATATGAATTAAATAAAGACCCAAATAATGGTTTCATTGTTAACCCATGACTACATGACTCAGAGACCAAAGTAATGGCTGTAGGCGTGACTGGTTCTGGATTTTTGATTTATTTTGAAACCTATTACGTGAAGCATTACAACGCGCTTTTAATTTCGCTGTTTTGGAGCGTTTCTATCATGACATTGGGATCAAGGATTTCTCAGAAAAATTTGTGTCTATTATCATTCACACAATTATTTCCACTCACGCAAAACGCGCTTCTTTAATTACATGATGCAGTTCCGCCTCTTGGCCACTAGAGGTCTGTTAGACACCCGTAGCCTCAATGTGCGTGAAGGAACAGATTTCAAAATAAAATATATCACGGCAAGCGTTTGAATATTCTTATGTTAAAATGTGATCTCAAAAACACTCACAGAGGTGTCACTTGTGTGTTTAAATGCTAGAATTCATTGTTGAGTATTTTGGCAAATGGCCTGTATTTGTATAGCACTTTACTTAGTCCCCAAGGACCCCAAAGCGCTTTACACAGTCATTCACCCATTCACACACTGGTGATGGCAAGCTACACTGTAGCCACAGCTGCCCTGGGACGCACTGACAGAGGCGAGGCTGCCGGACACTGGCGCCACCGGGCCCTCTGACCACCACCAGTAGGTAACGGGTGAAGTGTCTTGCCCAAGGACACAACGACCGAAACTGTCGGAGCCGGGGCTCAAACCGGCAACCTTCCGATTACAAGACGAACTAACAATTCTTGAGCCACGATCGCCCCATTTTATCAGCTCTAATGGATAAACTGACACAAAGAAAAAACATTGTTGCCATTTTGATAGTTCAAAAACAAAACAATAGTAAATATAATAAATATAAAACTGCCCACATTGAGAATCCTGATTTACAGTTTTTTTATTGTGACTAACTAGAATAATGCCACTTTAAACTGTGGTAGTACATTTGTGATTTCTCAAACAGATTTGTTTATTTGCTCATTAGCCTTTGAATGTAAGACTTAAAGTATAGCGTCAGAAACACATCAGCCGCATAGCAATGACCGAATCTGTAAGAAGAAAGGATTAAATAAACTGGAACATTACATTTTTTGATCAGAAATTCATTATGCTCGTTCATGTAACACCACTGCACATAAATCTCTTGACATCTCTCAATAGCCATCTAAGGAGATTTTTCTTGTAGAGCCGTTTTAAAGTGGGGGGGTTTTCTGATCGTATCTGCATACAGTCCAAGTGAATATTCAAAAATAGAATGATTACTGAGGGGAAAACAGACAGAGCAGCTAATTTGGACCACGTGTCTCTTTTAAGAGGAAAATTAAAGACTTGACTGGAAAGAAGAGGAAATCTGCATTTGGAAATCTCTCACAAAAGCAAGTCGAGACACTTTACCCACACCTGAGAAAACAGGTGTCATCCTTTACATATTCATAATGTGCTCAGTTTTTGTTTTTAATGGAAAAATAATTGGAAAGATTACCACTGGAAATTGCTTTTACGAGTATCTGCAGCAGCCCTAACCCTCAAAGCATGTGCGTACGTCTTAAAGTGGGCATTTCACTCCAAATGAAATATTCATAGTTAACAAAAGGAGGATGAATTGGTTTAATTAAAAAGCACAGAAATAAAAGTGTTATAAAATTTTATTGTTTGCTTACTGTTTATTTTCAGAACCCCTTTTCCAAATAATCAGCAAGATTATTGAAGACCAGAAAAACAAAACAAAAACAAAATCTCAGGCTAATCTTTCAGGAACCTCACACAAATAAAATAAAATAAATCAACAGAAGAAGTCAGTTCACCGATAACTGGGGAGGTCTTCCACTCTTTGATGTCAAGAAGACAGAAAGAAATGCATAAATGTTGTCTGCAATCATGGAATCACAAACAAAAATTGAATTCTATCCTCCAAAATTTTTTATCATTTCACCAAAACTATATGAAATTGGCCTATAATTTACAGGGTACTAACTGTCAAACTCCCACATCACATTTATGGACTTCTTAAATATACATATTTAACAATAATTATAAATTACTTCCTCTTTATTGGTAAATATATATATTCAAGAATTACATACAATTTCCATACCAAGTAAACCACTTTAATAACGTGATGTTATCATAAACATATCACCAACATGAGGAAAAGTGATACAATAGCCCCTCAAAGGAGACAGTAGATGTAAAAAGGAGAGAAGACATGATGGAAATAAAAAGGTGTTGGGGAGTTATATTCAGGTAGTGTACAGACGCTTTGGAGTCCTCTTCCAGCGCCATTCGACTGCAGTCATTCTTTACATCTGATCTCTAAGTTTAGCGAGCCTTTGAGACAGTTCGTCCTTTGGATATGAGAGTGAGAGAAAAGACAGCGATTAAATGAGGATGAAGACGAGACAGTTTTTGTTTGCTGGATCCACAAAGAACTTCTTCCTGTTTTGCTTCATCTATCTGAGTTTTGCAAATGTGTTAGTAACAACTATGATGTAATGTGTGTGTACCTGTTCTGCAGAGGCCACACTGGTACCCACTGATCCCGTCTGTCCTTGAGGGAGCTCCATGTTCAGATCCAACCTAAGCAAGAGGCGGACATGGGAAGTGTACATTTTTAAACCAAAATGAAATATCTACTCTTTCATAACGCCCTGTAACACATCCGATCATATCTATGTCTCTACGTCACACACTGGCCCACGTGATCAGATATTTCACAAACAGTGAAAATGTTACCCTGCTTCATCAGCCATTTCGTGCAGCAACGACTCCACTTGATTCTGAAACACACATGACACAGCAGGTTTCACCTTCGAGTCTTTAACGGCCTGACAGCGTGAAAGAATATAAGAATAAACCGGCACGGCGTGGGGTACCTGTGGTGTTGTGAGAGTTGTCGTGCTGCTCATCGTATCCTCCATCTGGGCTGTCTGAACATCCAGTGTCTCAAACTGGTGTTCAAATTTATCCATGAGAGCAGAAATCTTAAAACAAGCATTGACGATGTGTTTTAATCGGTTCTTTCTTACTAAAATCATCACATTATATCCACATGTAGACTGTTGTACCTTTTCCAGATTCATACTCTTCAATGTGGCGTCCATGCCTTTCACCACTCCAGCCATTGATTTTGTGACCTGAGATAGAAAAACACCACATCAGTCAAATAGCCACAAACAGAGCTCAAACTGAAATGTTGTCTTCAGCCTCTAACTGATCTTTCTAGGACTACAGCACCTGGTTCATTGTGACTGCAGTTTGGACCCTCGCTGCCACAGCATCTACCCGAGCGCTCATCCGCAGGAAGTTCACAGACTGGTTCTTCTGTCTGATGGCGTTTTCTGCATGAATTCTTGCCACTTCCATGTTTCCTTTCTGGATGGCCTGTGGGGTGGCAGACAAAAATAATGGTTCAGTAAAATCTTGAGCAGTCTTTCATGAACTGATGAATGGATTCTGAGTCATCGCTGCTTACCTTCTTGACTTTAGCCTTCTCTAATTTTTCCTCTTTGTCACATTTCTTGGAATTTCTTTGGAGTTCTTTGGCAGCAAACTTTAGATTGAAGAGATTTTCTGGTACAACAAGTTAAAGAAGAACAAAGCCCAAATACAAAGCCCAAAGACCAAAATCTGTACACCTCCGTCTCCTCACATAAGTTTGGCCTAAACTAAAACTCTGTAATAATTATTGGAAAAGGAGACAGTTCATAAAGAGACAAAGATTTTAAATCTGGTATCAGGTGATAGTTCTCATTATTTATTTATTTTTTAACCACGATCTGATGCATTTAAACCACTACAGGAAGATAAAAATTAAATGCATCTCCTTGAATTTCAAGCTAAATAAATGATCACAAAATGTGAAATAAACTTGAAGCTGGTGCTCTGATGTCATGGGAATACTGTGAAACTAAACACTCCAGCAAAAAATACACTCAAACATAGATGTGCAAGCAGAAATTTGATATCAAGGAGAATATGTCTTAAACACAAGTGTTGCCAGGGCGCATTGTTATCCAGTTCTGAACCCTATACTTTAGTAGAAGATATAAATACAAACTTAGCATTTCAGTCAGTCTATTCTAGATAAGGATTGCGTAATTCTGACCCATATTAGTCAGACTCAGATAACAAAGGTCTGACATCATCACGTGACTTTTGGATGGAGAGACTTGCTACAAAAAAAATGTCACACCTTTGAGCCACACAACAATGGTTTGTGTATCTATTTTCTCAGCTTGAATAGAGTCATGTGGGCAAAAAGCAGAGTTGCACCAACAGACTGAAGAAACAGCATCACCACTGCATGATCTGTCCACAAGAGAGCACTGACAAGTTCATTTTCCATCCTGTTTACTACCCGTGTTAGTTACAATTCTTTTTAATCAAAGTCTATTCAAATGGATTATCTTTAAGATTTACTGTTTATTAAAAAAATACTATTAGTCAGCTGGATTTTAAAACCCGTAATAACAATGTCAATACAGCCCTTAAAATTCCAATGTCAGTCTGAATAACATTTACATTTAAAAAAGTCTGAGATTTGTTCTCATGAGTTATACTGTGACAGACACGGGTTACAAAACAGGTATTTTTGGAGTTTTCTAATAATTTGCCTATGTTTGTATGGCTCCCGGAAACCACCGCCGCGCTGTGTTCAACAACACACATCCACCTTGTTCCTTTATTATGATTCGGAGTGCTAGCTAACACCCAAACTTCACGGGAAACTACCGAGCGCCAGCTGCTTTATTTACACCCATTAGCAGTGTAAGCTCTTAAGGCCTTCAGCCCAGCTCGGTCGCCGTGTTACGACGCCTATACAGACTATGAAAGGTTCAGGTTATTCGGTAAGGCGTTACCGGTGTCTCCGCTCAATATCAAACATGTTCCGCGACGCTTCAGACATCTGTCGCACATTAATCTCAGCAGTCTCGTCAAAAACCACCGTGTTGTGTTCGCCCGTTTAGCTCGGCGTTAACATTACACCAAGTGACTCTCTCTCACCGCTCTTTTTAAAAGGATACTTTCCATGCTGGGCATCTTGAGGCCGTTCTTTTAAAATCCAACAGTTACACAATAAAATCAACACACAAAAAAGTTGCTAAATATAACAAAACTTCCCAGTAAAACTTCACCTTTTCAGGTTTCGGTCCTCGTCTTCTTCCGCACTTCCTGATGTCTGATCAAAATATGGACGACGTCAGTGTCACGTGGTGACGGTATTCCATTCAGACGTCACGAAGGAGCGGCTAGCCCCCCTCCTCCACCCGAAATGTGAATGAGAATAAAAAAATAAAAAAAAGAAATAAATAAATAAAACTAACGTTAAAACACCGCAGTTTTTTCTACGAGTAAACTCCGGCTGAGCACAGTGACCGAGTGAGCACAGACTGATAAAAGTGGACGTGGCGTTGTACCCGGCGGAGTGCCGGTGGGAGGTAAAAGCGGTTGATTGATGATTAGATTTACGGTGTGGATCACGGCTGGGAGAGAGGATGACTCACTCCGTCTGATGTGATGTTCACCCCGCAACAGCTCGGCAGTGCGGTGGCACGCCGGTAGTTCAGCCTGACAGGTCGGTGTGCTCTGCCGTTACAAGCCAAACTTTACCAAACACTTCAGATGCGTTTGGAGGGCGCTCAGATACGTTCTTTGTTTCAAACTTGAGTGGTTGACACTTGCAGTTAAGGAAGACACCGAGCGTCGTGATTTACCGTAAATTTCGTGACGCCTGATTGCCATGGAAACAGGGCTCCTGCGCTGAGAGGAAAGTGTCCGCGTTATAACTTCAGCTTCAGCATCAACCTTTCCAACGAGGTCGCATAAACCTGTTGGATACTTCACAGTTTTCATTTTTCTTGTCTCTGCCCTGGCTTTACTTTCCACCACGAAGCAGGTGAGTTTTTATTTGTATTTTGTAAACGCATAATTATCTCTTCTGCTGGCACAACGCAGTAAATGCACCCTTTTTTCTCCTTCCTTCAGCATATTGCTCAGTTTCAGCCAAAAAAAAAGCAAACAAAGAAACAAAGATTGGCCTGTTTATTTACTTATACTGTCTGTCAACTTGTCAACTAGTAGCTTCTAAATGGAGCGGAAAATCCAGATGTTGGTCACATCTGGAACTAATCTGTGATACATTTTAAGTTCCGAGGACAACACGTTGCTCTGTGGTTGAAACATTAAAGAGCAAAATGTTGTTGATCCAAGCAGAAATGCCCACCACCAGCCTTTTGTGTGTCCCCACATCACGATCACCATCTGTGTGCTCAGTATTGTGGGGTGGACTATGCTTCAATCCATTCACAAGCTTCCCTGCCTAAATATTTCAAGAGTTTCACAGCCATAATGCCACCGCAAGTGGTGCATTTGGTGTCGTGGTGGTTTTGTTTTGTTTTTTTGCGCACAGAGAGACAATCCAGGAGAGCCAACGTGTGATGCTTCATTCAGTGGCTGTATGAGTCATATAGTCTTATCTATAAAGAAGCCAAGTGGCAGAGGAGCAGTCCTGCTGCAGGACCGAGTTGATATAACCCCTGAGATTCACTAGAGGCTGCTGTGGGCCATGCTTCCCTGTGCCCCGAGTTGCTGCCACTGACTGCATTTTGCATTGATGACCGTCAAATACTAACACAGGATAGAGGATGCAGAAGGCAGGTCACACGCTGTGCGCAGCACAGTTGATTGAGTGCTGTTTACAGTACGTCACAGGGCCGTGAAAACCATGTGAATGAAATCGGTACAATTTGCGTCTCAGTTTGCATTTTTAAAAATGGGGTTAAAACATTTTCACAGGTATTTTCATTAAGCTTTAGCCACTATGCTCATATTTGATGTAACACGTTAAAATTGAACCATTCCCTTTTCTTTGATCTTTATATAAACTATATATGATGAGCTATTATGGAGGAGTATCGCATGAAAAATATTCTTAGAACAGCACACTTTTGATTTTAATTGAATCTGACCTGAAAGTTGATGAAATATATTTATCAAGTTATGCAGATTTAAACATTAGATTTCAAACACTGCTCGTTTCATTTTGATTACCAGCTTATGCTGGTAGTATATAATAAGCTAAATGCACCTATTTCTTAGGTACATTTACAGATACACACATAAGTGGAGCTCTTCTCTGTGGTGTGTGTTCGGTAACAGGCTAAAATCTGACATTTGTCTCTGTACAGAGTGAGTCAGCGTGCATTAATGATGACGTAGACCACCTTTCCCCCACTCTAACTCATTTCCCCTTTACCCCCTTCTTAATTTAAAGATTTTAACAAAAACTATGTCAGATACAATTTGTTGTGACATTAAAAGACCAGGAACATTTACGCCATGCTGTATATTTGCAGAAAGATGTAGTCTGGGGGTATTAACCGCAACCCTGTTTTTATTATGCATGACTCCCTCTGATACCTTTTGACATAGAGGTGCAAGCCAAACAGACAAATCCAGCTTGCCTTATACAGACCGACCAGGTTCTGTAGTTGCTAAGTTTAATTTCTTCCCTGATTACCTGTCAGCTGCTGAATGACAGACAGGTGAGTCACCTGTAACTAGGACATGTAATCATGGAAGAAATTCAACAAACTTGATTACTGAATATTTATCCAATATGACCAACAAGTAAAATGGTGTGAAAGGCAGCTGGCAGTGTCCATGGCTGGCAGAGAAAAAGCCCCAGTTCAGTGTGGGAGGGGTCGTAAAGTAGAAACAATGTTACATATTTGGCCTGTGCATTTGATTAGCTGATGTACATGGTCTTAGTTTTATGGTCTGTGGCAGACATTCTGACGCGATCTTATAAGAACATATTTTTATTACATTTGTTGGATTACTGGGAAAATATAATTTGTTACTGTGCGTCATCAGTGGCTTATGTTTAAGCCCTTACTGTGCCACTTATTTGACTTTGCCATATGTTACGATTCTGTTGCCATCTAGTGGCAAAACACCAGGCAAGCTAATCACCGAGATATCCTCAATCCTCAGAGCTGCCCATTATTCCTAATGCTGAATTGCTGAATTTCAAATCCAACTAATAAACAATTGCAGTCAGAGAGGAATGAGGGTGGCAAAAGACTTTAGCTCATATATGCATTTTTGTTTGACTGCATTTTTGACACAATACTTTACAGAGGAGAGAAAAACAAAGGGGCAAAAGCCAAGTCTACAAAACCTTTCTTTTCGCACACTCTCTTGCAAAGGCTCAGCGCTAGTGGCTTATCCAGCTCTATGCAAAAGTGCATTTTTTCCACAGGATGTTATGCTTTCTGATCTCTTTTCCTGCTCCATGCGTTCCCTTGCCAGTGTAAGATGTTAGTCGTAATGTGATGCAAAACTCTGTTTCACAGGTGAAGACGATGGAGCTTCAAACAGAGAAGAGGTTCCACAACCTAACCCTGGAGCAAGTTCAGGCTCTTGACAAAGTTTTGACTGAGGTAATCCCCATCCATGGGCGAGGTAATTTTCCTACACTGCAAGTGAGAGCGAAAGACATCATTCGTGTAGTGAAGGACCGTCTGGTTGAAAGGAACATTCAGGTTAAAGATATACGCCTCAACGGCATGACTGCCAGCCACATCCTCGTTAAAGACAACGGGCTTGGCTACAAAGACTTAGACATCATTTTTGGAGTGGAGCTTCCGAGGCAGGAAGACTTCCATGTTATTAAGGAGGTGGTGCTGGGGAGCCTACGAGACCTTCTCCCTTCTGGGGTTAACCGACGTAAGATCACCTGTCTGACAATGAAGGAAGCCTATGTGCAAAAGATGGTGAAAGTTTTCAATGAGCATGATAGATGGAGCCTTATCTCGCTTTCTAACAACAGGGCTAAAACTGTGGGGCTCCGATTTGTTAGTTCCCTCAGACGACAGTTTGAGTTCAGTGTGGACTCCTTCCAGATTATATTAGATCGTATGCTCCAGTCTTACTGGGGGAACGAAAGGAAACAAGAATGGAAGTTGGCACTGACTGCTGGGCCTTCATCTAAAAAGGACGATGACGATGAAAGCAAAGGACAAGAGAAGCCGAGCATTCCTCAGGAGGTTGAACATGATATGAAAGAAGATTCTGCAGTGGTGACTAGCACAGAAAGTCCGTGCCAGGATGAAGGTGTTTCTCCACTCGAGGAAGAGCTTCGTCAAGAAGAGGTCGAGAGTGTAGACGAAAAGCCCGAGGTGCAGCAGGTGCTGGAACCGGAGAGCATAAGCTTACAACAGGAGAAAGAGGAAGTGGAGGGCATTGAGGATGTACAATCAGAGGAGGAAATTGTGTTTGAGATGTGTGAGAAAAAAGGAGAAGAGAAAGAACAGTTTGAAATCAATTATCCTGTAGTTGCATCGCCCAAAACTTTATTTTCAGATGTTGGGGATCCTCTGATGACACATGCATGTTTAACCCTACAGAGTAATGACGAAAAATACGAGGCACAAGCTTCCCAGCCTGTAGTGTGCACATCACATACAGAAAAACCAGCTCCACAGGATTTAAGTCATCGTGAAGAAAAGTTCAACGTAGACTCTGTAAGCTGCAGGACTGATTCTACCCCAAACCCGCAAGATTCAAATCTTGAGTTTTCCTTTCCTCCCCCAGCTAAAAAATCTTGCAGCACATCAGCGGACATTGTGCCGGATTACTGCCCCTCGCCGAAATTACAAAGAAAAATGTCACGGAAGTTGATTAGTAAGCCTGAAAAATGGTCTTTACTAACCGATCTGTCAGACCTCACCACACAGCTGTTTCCACCCATAGAGCTACCAAAACAACTTCAGCCGAAACCTGCTGTGCTGGAGAGTTCTCAAGTTCACAGTTCAAACATACCAAGCTGTCAGACGGAGAACTCGGAGGGTACAGATGTACTTACAGTTCCCACACACAGTACAGTCAGTACACCGCAGGATGGGACTTGCTCCAGAGAAACTTTAGAACAAACTGTTAAGCCAAAACACTCAAAGGAGCCTCCTGATTCAGAGCCTCAAAGCAACTCATGTGCAGCAGGTGTGGTCTCACAGCCTCAGGTATATGAGCATAAACCGGAGCTGGCAGACGCCGTCCCAAACAGCTGTGAGTCAAGCTCATGGCTTGGGGAAGCAGGAGAGCCCACCATCACTGTTGAAGCTGAGTGCATGTACGGAGACTTTGATCAGGCTATGGATCATCTTCGAAACCGCCTC